GAGAGTTTTCAATCGGACACATGGGCTAAAATTAGGCATGATAATCCACGTGTCAAAAATTTAGATAGACAAGTCTACATGTTGTAACCACATCACTTCATTATTTAATAGTAATTTTTTATTTATAATCTATAAAATCTATAAATAATCAATTTTACCTAATTTAATTTATTATTTGTTACTGCAAAAAAGAAAGCAAAAGCAATAAAAAATAACGTGTAAAAACAAGATATAATTTCTCAACCGAAAGGGTAACAATTCGCACATCTAACATCTAACTTTGCATACACGTTTTTTGTTAAATTATATTTAATTAATATCATTAACTTTATTAATTGGATAATATCATTAATATTATTATTTTTAATTATATTAATGGAATTTCCCCAACCATGAATCACACATAACTTCACCCAAATTTATGGAGTTGAAATATCATTGCAAGGCTTAATGAATATAATAATATTAAATAACTATTCTTTACACTAATTAGAGACTTCATGCAGAGAATAGTATAATAATATATTAATACTAAAAGTCACTATGATAATAAAACATCACTGTATAAACTAAATGTGTGGAAGAAAAATTTAAATATAATTTAATATCATTATTATCATATAAGATACTTTTTTTAAAAAAAATTATAAGAAATTAGTGTTTAAATTAATTTATCACTTAACATGTCCAGATAAAAAAATGTAGTAAGATGCATATTTTTATTTGCCCAAAATTAAAATTATTTCATCATATTTAAGAAATTAATACTCTATATCAGTGCTAAATATTTTATTTTTTTTCCTTTTTCTTTGCATACGCATCTTAGAATTCAAGTGTGGTATGTGATTTTTATCGATGAAGCTTCTAATCTTGATAAAAATTGATAATCTATAGAAAAATATAAAAAACAAATTAATTAGATGATTCATTATATTATTTTTATATGATATAATGATAGAAAAAGTTAACATTATGATGATAAAACAAAACGTAGAGATCAATAGGAAAAAAAGCTTTTTAAAATAAAAAAAAGAATAAAGGTCTTTGTGAAAGACAATCTGTAGAAGAAAAATATATTGAAAACTTGAAAATAATTATATGGAGGTCAAAATCTGTAGAGAATAAGAAAATGTGATAAAAGAAACCGAGATAATAGTGAAAAATAAAATAATTATATAATTTTTTTTCAAGAAATGAAACTGTAAAGAGAGGTAATCAGATTTAGGGGGAAAAAAAGGTAAACACTCTACAGCCAATAAAAAAATAATTATATTGTAGGAAAAATATATGAAAAACTTACTAAAGAAGGATTACAAAAAGTATATAGAGTGATGAAAAATAAAAATAATTTTATGAAAAGAAATAATGAGAAAATTTTTTATTAGAGTGAGAGTTTAAAAGATATCATACGGGTAAAAATATTTAGAGAGATCATTATGAAAAATCTTTTAAAAGATATAAAGCCATAAATCAACAAAATAAAAAAGATGCACAATAAGTTACATATGATGATTTCAAATATTGAAAATTATTTCAAATGTACTTAAAATTAAAAAAAAAACAAATTACACAGCTGTAATTTATATCATTAATATTAATTTTTTACATGTATCACTCCGTCGAAAATGTCATACAATCGTTATGTCATCAAGGTCATATATATCTTGAATAACCCGCACAACGTGCTGGATAAACACTAGTATATATTAAATGAGAGTTTGTAATTGACATGTGCCGTTCAGTGAGTTAGTTTAGGAAAATTGTGACACATGTCGTTTCTTAAATTCTCCTTCATTAAACTATAAAAAATATTGTAATTTGATTAAATAAATTTTTTTACCTTACTCAGTGTCAGAAATAATTACCATATTCTATCATTGCATACTTTAATTGCACGAGAACCATGAAATCTGCTCCTAATAAAATCATCATAATTATTAATCTATATAAGAAATTTATCTAAACAATCAACAAATTTCAAAACTAATACAATACCAAAATGCAACAAGATGAATTAGTCATACTCTTTTCAGTAAATTAAATAAGGAATATATTTAAAGAATAACCAATCATTAATTAATTAAATAATTAATAATCGTATTGTGAATAAAATTGTATATAACTCCAACTATCTTAGGTAACTGATATATTGATAGCAATTCTGTTAGATTGAGAGTAAATCTTTTTAGAATATCATATTTAGAATATAAGATATCGAGTAAACTACTCAAATGGTCATTTACATTTACTAAAAATTTAATTTGGTCTTGTATACTAAAAATTCACTGATTTGGTCCACTACACTTTCTTTTAGACTAATTTAGTAAATTTTACTATTTTTGACATTTACATTTGGTGGCAATTGGGTTGACCATATTTCGGTCAATTCAACATGAATATTTTCAACAATGTCTAATTTTCAAAAATATAAGAAAAGAAAAATCGACTTTAATAATATTTATCATATTATATTGATTTATAATTAGTTAAAAATAAATATTTAAAATTTTAAAATTCAAAGAAAATAAAAAATCTAATTTCTTTTTTTGTTAATCCGGTGGGCCCTACAATGGGGTGTCAATCGAGTCATCTTTCAGGTTCGCGGGCCGAATGTGGCACGAACCTGAATATTTATGTATAAATCTGAACACAACATCTTTAACTATACGAGTCAATTTTTTGAACCTAAACATGATTTGATAATAACACGGATGACCATACACGACATGACACGAAATGACCTGAAAATAATTTAATATATGTGCAATTAACAAAAAGATATTTTTTGAAAAAAAACTAAGAAATTTTTGAAAAAAAGATTATGAAATCAAATTTTAAGTACTTATAAGTTATAACTTAAACAATGAGTAGATGTCTACAAATATTAAAAATGCAATTTTTTTTTTAAATTCTTGTGAATTTAATGAGAAAGAACTAAATAACACTGCCTGATAGCATATTTAGAATTAACTAATAACATAGATATTTTAGATGATATGAGTATATATATAGGGTTTAGATAGTATGTTTATAATACCCAATAAGTCCTCAAATTACTTATTTTGAATTTGGGGTCAAACGGGTCATTAAAAAAAATAAAAGTGACTAAATTAGTGTAAAAAATAAATATAATGGACCAAATCAGTGAATTTTTAATGCAATGACTCAATTAGTTTTTTTCGGCAAATATAAAAGACCATTTGAGTAGTTTACTCTACTTGTTCTGATTATATCTTTCTTTCTTCTTTTCCTTCTTTTCATCATTAAGGATTAAAAAATATCTCCCGACACCAATTAATATAACAATTCATTAAATTCCTAATTGGAAAAAAACCACTGTAAGAGACCGTAAACCATCATAGGCAAACCCTCACATCGACATAACAAATATAGGTTTGAAATCGGGAGAACACATTTATCGAACAAGTTTGCAAGTCTTAGTCCTTTTTCAATTAAAATAAATTACGATCTTATCCCTTTTAGAAAAAATAAATCGTAAATAACAAATTACGCGATTATAAATCATTATTGATTAATAATTTGAAGAGCAATACAGAGAAAATTTACAAAGAAAACTTACAAGGAATGAGTTTTTAATTATCTAAACTATGCCCTAACCTGAAATGCTTAACTCCAAATAAAAAGTGTTAAAAATAAATAGTTATGATTAATTCATTGTTATTTTTCCTTGTCATTTTTTCCCTGTACAAATCATTATCCCAATTGAAATGACATAAATATTTTAAAAAAACCGTGGGAATAGTACTAGTTTAAGAAATAAAAATAAACTAATCAGTAGTAAATAACAACACACCTACAATTGGCATTTGCATATATGTTTTTGCCATTTGCTCATTATTTATGTTCTTTTATATAATTTGCCATGTTCAATTTTCTCCTCAGAATTTATGTGTTCACAATTTTATTTTTATAGAAGTCCCAAATAATGGACCATGGGGGATTAATAAATCAAACTAAATCGATTAAATTTTTATAGTAATCAACTAAAAATTCAATTTATTAATTGATATATGGTTATTACGGCCAGGACATAAATTACTAATTTAATTTAATTTAATTTTTTGAAGGAAAGTTGTCATAAAAGTGACTTCATAATCAAGATGTTTCCCTCGAAATGGACAACCCTCATAGTTCCCATTTGATATTCGTTTTTTTCCACAGGAAAAAGGCTTAATTTAAACATTGTAAATAGAATGTTGAATTAAGATATAGAGAACGCTCTCCGTCCCAGCAAAATTTATATTTTGTTGAATTAAAATATACAATCAAATGAATTAATTTTCTAGGAGACAAGGGGAATACTAAATTTGAAATGAAAGAGAAAAATTGTTTGACGACTTAATTTTTTTTGTTTTTTAGTACATAATGACGACTTAATTTTGGAAAAAGAAAAGGGATTTGAACAAGAATCCATGGGATATCCTAATTCCTAACTAGATTCCTAGTGATCTTAGTACAACGTTGGAAAAGGGAGGACCAAAAATAAAAGCAAATGCATCGGAGCAGAAAACGCGCGGGAGAGTGGTTTTGCTGGCCCGAGTCAAGATTCGGCGGCTACCCACCGCCGCAACAAATATAGAAAAACCAGCGGCGCCGCCGCTGGTAATTGTTGCAAGTATTGGAGAACTTGATTGTACTTCCAACTCGTCACTAAAAGTTGCAAAGTACATGATTTACAACGTACTGTCACAAACAAAATGTTGAATCTTTTTCTTTCTAGTAATTTCTACGTTCCCTCCCTCCCTTGTCGAGTTTCGAAAACCGCCCCCAAAACGGTGGGATACTTGGTTGACTAGATAGCTGTTCCAAAATTTTGTTTAATCTTTTATTTTACCTTCTTAAATAGATCACCACCTAGATTCAATTTTCTTTTTCCAAGCATTCCACCAACTACAGAAATATAATAAATGTACCGTGATATACCCCTTTGCTCCAAAAAGGCAAAAGCCAGTTATCCATAAAATTTAACCTATCAAAGACGATTAGCCTATGAAACGAAAAGAGATTGCAGTTGTTCGGCCTTGTGGACACGCTCTTAATTATATTAGGAAAACAAATATAATTTGTTCCTGAGTTCAAAAATACTATTCCTTCCGTTCCAAAATATATATCGAATTCATCAAAATAAAAAGGCAATTTCACAATTGCTCTCGATTACTTGAATCAAAATAAAACTTGAATCACAATTACACAGGGTTTTCCTGTGTTTTTTATTTTATTTTATTTTATTGTTGTCAAATTAATTGAGACAAACAAATTAAAACTTGAGTAATATATATTTACAAGTTACAAACTGATTCCAACTCTAAAACAAAAAATTTGGTCAATCTCACTACAACAAAAGAAAAACAAAGATTCGTGGAGAACCATGAAATCAGAACAGGGGGCCGGGGTTACAGCGACGGCGTTGAGTGATTGGCCGGCGAGATTGATACTCGGCGTTCATCTTCATCGTCATCAAAACTCCAAAGCTGCATACAAACACCGGCACCGGCGGCGTCCTCCTGGGCGGCGCCGGCGTTGGTGGTGGATGACCCCTCCTCCCCGGACTGCCCGTCTACGTACGGAAGCTGGTAGAACTTCATGTACGACTCGTAAGCCATGAGCTCCTCCGACAGCTTCTGCACTTGATTCTCAGAGCTAACGTCGTCGTTTTCCACATTAACCACCTCGTTGTTCTCTTTCCCGTCTTTGATTTCCACCGTCCCTATTTCCCCACGGGGTCGATTAATGAAATCTACGCAGAACCCAGCCGGAGGTACGGTGGTGGCGGCCGCGGCGGCGTTGTCGTAATCGAAGTAGTTGGGCGGTTCGTGTGAAGGGGCAAAGTTGCGATGAATGTAATAAGCGGCGGCGGTGGTGGCGGCGGAGGGCGGAGGACAGTGGTTGTTCTGGTGGTGGTGGAAAGAGTGGTCTTCGTTGGGGAAATTGACTTTGGCCTTTTTGCCTCGGATTTTGCGAGCTTCTTTGTCGTAGGCTCTGGCGGCTTCTTCGGCGGTGTTGAAAGTACCGAGCCAAACCCGAACCCCTTTTCTCGGGTCACGGATCTCGGCGGCCCATTTTCCCCATGGCCTCTGCCTGATTCCTCTGTACAGGTTTTTCCTCTGCCTCTGAGTTTTGATTTTGGGGACGACGCCGTACTCGGTCTCTTCCTCTTGCTTTATTCCCCCTGCCAAAAGAAAGAAAGAATCTATCAATCAATCTTTAACTCTTTCCGTAAGGGAAAAAACAACATAATATCAAGGAGGATGATTAGGGAGAGGTCAACAAGTACCTGAGGCTTTTCGTTTAGGTGCATGGTTCTGGTGGTTGTTGGTGCTGCTGGAGTCGGTGAAGTAATACTCCGGCCAAAAGTCGGCGGAAGAAATACCACCGGTGCCATTTCGTGGTGGGATTAGGCCGGCTAGGATTGCACCTCCACACATGATGGTGATGATGATGATGATGATGATAAATTGATGAAATTTGGGGTAAATTTCTTATCTGAGAAACGATGAAAGAGTCGGTTTAAAGTTTTAAAGTAGGAGGGAGGGAAGATCGTGTGAGTTTTGTGTGTGACACAAATTAAGGAACGACAAGTGCATGGATAAAATTAGACAGTGATTTTGGGGGGTTTTTATACATTTGGTGGTAGGCGTGTGGCTAGGTAAAAAGTCATATGAGTTGGCATCCAACAATATTTCACTGAATAACTGTAGTAAATAAAAAATGGATAAAGATAGGGAATTTACGTGTAGAAAACTAGAAATATGGATTTTCTTGGGTCATTGCCTCATTGGTCCCCCAAAAAAAAAAAATGATTCAAAGAGGAGAAGACCAAGTTGGGGAAGCCAGCCAGGGGAGGGGTATGGGGGAATGGAATGGTAAGCACAGCACACAGTAAAACCTTGGGAATGATGGGCGGGGAGGTGGTTTAGCCGGGTAGGGGAGTCGTTCTTTGTAAAAAGTATGTTTTATTTTGCAAAGCAAGTGGCCAAGTTGGGGGGTAGCTTGTGGGGGAGTCTGTTTTGTATGCGCTTACGAACTTTTCAAGAAATAGCCAAGAAGAATTTTAAGGCTCCTTTTCTGGTTCTTGGCTGGAACCTCCCCATGACAACACTCAACTTTGGTAACTTTTTTGTTCTTCTCTTTTTTCCAAAAGGAAACAAAGAAAACATATTCCCTCTTGTCCTTATTATATTTTCACACTCGTTGTACGCTCTTAATTGTTATGAAATATTTTTAAGATTTTTATTTTAATTAAAAAAACATCTTAAATAAAACCTTAGACGAAATCAAAATACTTTATAATAAGGATGAGAAAGAGTACTTTTCTTTTGTTTTTTTTTTAATTCAAGAGGGAGAGTAACGCTCCTAAACGATTACATTTCTCGGGTATGCCATCCCAATAATATCATGCTCTAACCAATTACTAATCCCTAGAGGTGGGAAATCCATCCTGTGAAGCCCACTATCCCATCACATTCCTCTCTCATAATGTGATAATTTGATATTTTAAACTCTCACAGTAATTCCCATTTCCCAATTGCCATTATTTTTTACATAGCCATATTTCTTAACTTAAAGGGAATGATAAAGGGCATGCACTTGTTTAGACTTGTACTTATTAAAAAAATTTTCATTTAAGGATGATATAATTATCATATTATTATATAATAATATTCTAATTTCGTACATTATTAATTTTTTGCAAAAAAATAAAAAAAGGACAAAACTCAAAAAAGTTACATTATATGAGTGAGAAATACTGCTAATATTATGATATAGTCAAGATTTGGAAATTCAGCATCAAAATTATCCAGGTAAGAAAAAGAATTTGAAAGGGAAAGAATTTCATTATCATTCATAACCGCCCCAAAGATACAATCCTATTCTCTTTTATGCAAAAATAGAAAAGTCCTGAAAATGAAAAACCGTTTTACAGCTGGAAGTAAATCCAAAAAATACTAATTCCATCTTTAATCATAAACCCCAAACTATCAATAAATGCCTGTAATGCCCAAATCTTTGTCTTCCTTTGCCAATCGCCTTTTATCAACATCAGAATTACAATTAAACCCTTGAATTCATGACAATCCCTCCTGGTCAGATCATCCTTGTCCTCAAGGATGGAATTCAGGGAACTGATTCACTATGAAAGCTTGATCTTCCCAAGAAGCATCGTCGAGTGTTAAGTCCTTCCAGAGAATAAGCCACTGCACAACTTGTTGTTTACCTCGGAAGACAAAGCGGCGTTGCAAGACTCTCTCCGGCGGTAAAACGGACTCCTTAATAACTGAGAGATCAGGAAGTACCGATGCAGTGATAGGATGAGTTCCATAGAATTTCTTTAGCAAGGAGACATGGAACACCGGATGTACTCTACACTGAACGGGCAACTTGAGTTTGTAAGCTACTGCCCCAACCTTCTCCATGATTTGATAGGGGCCAAAGAACCGTGACATGAACTTCAAACTTGATCTCAGTGCGACTAAAGACTGTCTGTAAGGTTGCAGCTTTAACAACACCCAATCTCCCACTGTAAATTGCCGTTCGATACGTTTCTGATCAGCATAAAATTTCGTGTGGTGCTGTGCCTTAGCCAATTGATCCTTCAACTGCTGTATAATATTGGCCTTCTGTTGAGCCAAATCTTGAGCAGCAGGAATGATGCTGTTGAAGAATGGACCAAGGGCAAACGGTTGAGGTTTTTCTCCATAAAGAGCTTCATAAGGGGTCATCTGGATGCTGGTCTGAAACGTGGAGTTGTACCACCATTCTGCCATGGATAACCAACTGTTCCAAGATGATGGTTTTTCATAACAGAAACACCTCAGGTAAGATTCAAGGCATTGGTTGAGCCTTTCGGTCTGCCCATCTGTTTGAGGATGGTATGCCGTGCTCATCTTCAACTGAACCCCAAGGAGCTTGAACAACTCTTGCAAAAAATGGCTAGTAAATACACTATCTCTGTCAGTAATAATATCATCAGGCAGTCCATGAAGTATGAACACCTCTTTTAGAAATACCTCTGCTACATTCTTGGCTGTTATTGGAGACGACATGCTGATAAAATGGCCAGACTTTGTAAGTCGGTCAATCACTACCAGAATAGTATCCATGTTTTCTGACAATGGAAGCTTAACTATGAAGTCCATAGATATGCTTCTCTAAGGGTGTACTGGAATGGGATTAGTCTGGAGCAATCCAGGAGAGGCAACATGTTCCACTTTGTTCTTTTGACATACTATACAACATCTGATAAACTCATCTACTTCTTCCTTCATTTTTTGCCAGAAGAATATCGACTTGATTCTTTGCCATGTAGCCAACTGACCGGAATGTCCCCCTAAGGTAGAAGAGTGGAAAGATTCCAGAATAGTTCTCCTGATGTCCCCACCCAAGCCAACATAGATCTTACCTTGCTTCCTTAAAATGCCATGCACCAAACTGTATTCATCATTGTCCTGAGGGTGAAGTAACCTTCAGGATCTGGCTTTCAGCGAATTGATCACCCTGATAGCTATCTGCAATCTGTTGGACCCAATCAGGAAGAACAGTGGTGATGGCATTCAAAGTTCCAGCATTTTGTACTGATGTAGCCAGCCTTGATAAAGCGTCAGCCGCAGCATTGTCACACCCCTTTTTATATTGAATCTCATAGTCGTATCCAAGGAGTTTAGTCAACCATTTGTGTTGCGCATTACTAACTACCTTCTGTTCCATTAGATACTTTAAGGACTGGTGATCACTCCTTACGATAAAATGAACTCCCGACAAGTAATGCCTCCATTTGGATACAGCAAGAACCAAGGCCATGAGTTCTTTCTCATAAACTGATAGGCCATAATTTTTCTAGATAAATGCCTTACTTATGAAGGCGATTGGTTGGTTTTCCTGCATAAGAACAGCTCCCATGCCAATGTCACTAGTATCTGTCTCAACCACAAATGTTTTATGAAAATCTGGCATTCTTAGCACCGGAGCAGAAACCATATAATCTTTAAGCAACTGAAACGAGTTTTGAGCATCTTCATTCCATTGGAAGGCATCTTTCCTCAAAAGATTCGTCAAGGGTTTACTGAGGATGCCATAGTGCCTGATGAACCGCCTGTAGTAGCCAGTAAGGCCTAAGAATCCTCTCAGTTCTTTAATGTTGCGAGGAGCTGGCCAATTCACAATACAACTGACTTTCTCCTTGTCCGTGCTAACCCCTTTATCCGAGATGGTGTGCCCCAGGTAATCAACAGAATTCTTGGCGAAACTGCACTTGCTCATTTTAGCGTAGAGTTGGTGAGACTTCAAAATTTCTAATACTTCCTTCAGATGCTTCAAATGATCCTCCAAGGTGGGACTGTAGACTAGAATATCGTCAAAGAAAACGAGAACGAACTTCCTCAGCTGTGACTTGAACACTTGATTCATTAGAGATTGAAAGGTGGCCGGAGCATTGGTTAAGCCAAAAGGCATAACTCTGAACTCAAAATGTCCGTGATGAGTTTGGAAAGCGGTTTTATGGATGTCCTCTTCTTTCACCCGTATTTGATGATAACCAGCTCTTAAATCCAGCTTAGAAAACCACCGTGCTTTCCCCAACTCGTCTAAGAGTTCATCAATGATTGGTATTGGAAACCGATCCTTGACTGTCATTTCATTCAACCGTCTGAAGTCAACGCAGAGTCTCCAGCTTCCATCTTTTTTCCTTATCAATATAACAGGCGATGTATAGGGACTGTTACTACGTTGGGCCACTCCTTGTTCCAGCATTTCTGTGACTTGCCTTTCAATTTCGTCTTTGTAAGCATGGGGGCATCTATATGGGGGAATCTTAAAAGGTTGTGATCCCACCTTCAATGGAATATGGTGATTCACCGCTCTATTAGGGGGCAACCCGGCAGGAGTTTCGAACACCACCTGATAATCTTTCAATAGTAACTCCACTTCCCGTGGGGTAATGTTCTCCACATCTCCCTTGTGATCAATGGCTCCAGCCTCTGCTTGCAGTGATTGCAGTTGCACGAGAAACAACCTTCTTCTTTGTTCAACTGAGTACTTAGGGTTATTTTTCTCCTTAATCAGCCCCATGCTAGTTCCACCACAGCTGCCAAAAAGAATGTATCTCCTCCCATGCTTACTCAACTTGATGCTAAGGTCATCAAAGTCAAAAGTAATAGGGCTAAAATGCCTCATCCAATCAACCCCTAAGATCATGTCATAACCACCCAATTTCATGATCTTCATGTCAAAACTGAATTTGAACTCGTTTATATTCCATTTAAGGTTCAGACAGATCAAACTTCCAGTAACCTTGCTGCCGTTTCCCACGGTAATAGTATATAATTCAGATTCTTTATAAGCCAATTTCAGCTCAGATACTATTCCTGCATCAACGAAGCTATCCGTGCTACCCGTATCAATCAAAATTCTCACCATTTTACCCTGAATTCTACCAACAATCATAATGGTTTGCTTAACTGCAGTCATAGTTAACACATGCATTGACCCTTCTGGTAATGTTAAATCAGTCAGGTCCACCCCGTCATCAACAGGTAATTCGGGAACATTCAATTCATGGATAACATCGTCATCTTCTGAAATCATGATATTGAATTCCCTAAGTTTACAAATGTGACCAGGTCCATACCTTTCTCCGCATTTGTAGCACAGATGGTTGGCTTGCATGTACTGCAATTCCTGGGGGCTCAAGTGTTTGATCAATTTGGGGTTGTACTTCCTTTCTGGCTTGGCTCCATTGACGTTCTTCACCACCCGTGGGCTTGTCCTCTGAGTGGAAACTCCTTGGATT